TCAGATCTGAGAAGAGGCAAAAAAACTGCCTTGAAAATTGGAGGCGGTGAAAAGAGAACACAGCTTAGAGAAAGCAAGAACTGCCAGTGGGGCCAGACAGGAGTAGGAAACTTGAAGTGCAGCACAGTGGTTGCTGAAGACTGAGTGCAGACTAGCGTCAGAGACAAGACCTTCTGGGTACCCCGCCTCGGGGGGGCCCATACTAGTCCCGCATAACTGGGTTACAACTGAAAGACCTGCAAGGCCCTGATGCATTCTTTCTCTCTCTTTCATTTCTTAAGACAGGGTTTCACTATGCAGTTCTGGCTGGCCTTGAGCTCACTTTGAAGCCCACGCTAGCCTCGAACTTGAAGTGATCCTCCTGCCTCAGCCTCTCAAGTGCTAGGATAACAGGTGTGTGACACCATACCCAGCCTTTGACTATTTCAAAAGGAGTCTCTACACCAGCATATCTATATTTATCGTAGGGCAATTCACAATACTCCAGGTATGGAATCATCCCTAGGTGCCTGTTAACAGATGAATGAATAAAAAAGTATGGTAGATACACATAATGGAATATTATTCAGCAAAAAAGAACATGTGCAGGAAAATAGATGGAACTGGAGAGAGAACATCCTGTTATGTGGAATAAGCCAGACTCAGAAAGGGAAGCTGCACACGTTTTGCCTAATGCGTGGGATCTAAGGGGCGGGGGAGACTACCAGAGAAGAGGAGGGGAATCAGGGAGCGGAGGGAAGGGAAGGCAAAGGTGGACCAAGGTGGGAGGCAATGATCAAGGTATGTTATACGCATGTGAGGAAACACCACGATGAAGCTCAGCAGTCTGTAAAATTCATGTGCACTAATACAAACATACTGGAAAAAATAGGAAAGGAGTATCCAGGGGAACGTAAAACACAAGAGACAAACAAGGATACTGAAAACCGAAGCCTCAAACTCTTAAGCAAACAGGAAACAAGATCTACATTCACAGACACACAAACACAAAAACTCACACTAACGGTCAATTTATCTTACCACCTCATACAGTATGTTCTGTTTTCAACAACAACAAAATTCTAAGGTGTATCAAAAGGCAGAAAACAACGTGAAGAGACAAACCAAGCATCAGAACCAGGCTCAGATATGGCAGAAGCTTTGGAAGTGTAAGACCAAGAATTTGAAATAATTTTACTTACTATGCCGAGGCCTCTAATGCAACAAGTGAGTACCAGGTAAGAACAGGTGGCTGACATAAATGTACGAAAACTCAAAGGAAAAATAAAAATGAAGTGAGGGAGTGTAAAGAATCAGAATAAAGGAAACAGGCAGAGAAATGTAAGGGAAAGGCTGAACAAAGAGCCAGTGGTTGTTTTAACCACAATGGGATAGCTCTCCAGTGTTGTTAAGCCCAAGGGCTTCACTTGTGAAAAATTAAAGTCAGAAAGCAGAAAGTCAATAAATGCTTCAAGAGATCCTTTACAAGACCTGGTATAAAACCCAAAAGGAGGAAGATGAGAAATGACATATTACGTCAAGCCAACAGGTCGTAAATTTTAATGTCTTTGACACTTTGTTTTCTTTTTCTTTTTCTTAAATGCTGACGAAGTTTATTCGAAAAGTAAAAGAGTGAGGGAGAAACTGGCTCTGCAGAGGGAGAATGGGCCAAAAACAAAAATGAGAGAGAGAAAAAAAATAAAGTACGGGCTGCACAACACAGGGCAGGCTGTCATGAGCAAAGCTACCACAGCTGACACTTTGTTTTCCTTAGATAACGTGGCTGGATTTCTCAAAACACAAAGGTTATACTACTTCCCCTCTCACAGGCTTTCCTTTCATCAATCTGTGATAAATTTGTCAGTAAGTAACTCCAAGGGTGCGGTGGCACACGCCTGTAATCACAACACTCATGAGGCTGAGGCTAGAGGGTCGCCCCGAGTTTGAGGCCAGCCTGAACTATACACTGAAATCCTGTTTGAAGAAGGAAAAAACCAAAAATTCCAAGCACATTTTTCTGATGCCCTGAGGTACTTTGAAAATTTTGACTTTTGTTTTAAGTTACCAGAATTCATCTTAATTTCACTTTGAGATTTCCATAGTTCGAAGTGAAAACGAAATTCTGAAGCCCAGCTCTGGTGGTTTACCCTTGGCCATCTCCATGTGACCAGCTCTGGGATCTGCACGGGGTTGACAGCACACTTCCGGATGTGTCCAGTGGGTCCTGGTGGCGAGGCCTTGGGGCTAGGTCTGGTCCCTGCCCTCTTCCCCTCTCTTTGTCCTCTGCTGGTCCTGGCCATCATGAACTCAACAGCTTTGCTTCACCAGGCCCTCCTGCCATGATGTATTTTTGCCTTGGAGCCAGCAGACCATGACCAAATTCCCTTGGAACATGAGACAAATCAGAAGTCTCCTCAAGCTGAGTGTGGGGAACTGTGTTGAGCAATGGGAAAGTTGACTAACGTCATATCCTCATGCATTCCTCTGCTCAGTCAGCAAATATTTATTGAGCAGGTTCTTCATTCTAGGCAGAAGAGGACATGGCAGGTACAAAACGAAAATCGTTGCTCTCTGGGAGTACCACACCTGTGTTAGTCACTTTCCCATCATGGGGACAGAATACCTGACACTTGCATCTTACAGGGGGTGTCCCTGTAGATCTTCATGCACTCACCGGTAGGGCTTTGGGGAGGTGACTGGATCATGTTGGTGCAATACTGATCACTAGCTTAGTCCACTGATGAGTTTACAGCGCCACGTGATTTGCAAAGTGAGGCCTGCCTGGTTGGAGGTGGGTGACTGGGGGCATGGCCTGGGAAGATTTATCTCCTTCCATGCTCCCTTGATCTCTGTTCTGCTTTCTGCTGCCACAACATGAACTATTTCTCCTCTGTGATGCTCCTCTGCCATGCCAGTCTACTTTGGAGCCAGCTGTCTATGGACTGCAACTTCTACAAACTGTAGACCCAAATAAACCTTAAGATATGGATACTGGGTACTGTGTCTCAGTGATGAGAAAGTAACTAGCGGGGGAGAGGTTTACTTGGCTCATAGCTTTCGAAGGTGCACTCCACAGAAGGTTTCCTCCAGTGCAGAAATGGTGGTGGATGGGCCTGGCAGAGGAAAGCTACTCGAGTCGTGGCTGTCAGGAAGCAGCCATGGAAGCCATGTCAGGAAGAGAGTCAGGGACAGCACTACACCCCCAGAGCTCCCCTCTTCCAAGCAGGCCCCACCTTCTAACAGCACATACTGCAATGAATTCATAAATAGGTTAATCCATCGATACGTATAGCATTCCCATAATCCAATCATCTTCCCAAAGTCCCACATGAACACGTGAGACTCCTGGGGAACAGGTTAGATACGTTCACTGTAACAACTCCTTAGCTGCAGACAGCTTAATAAACCTCTAGGTAATACACCTACAGAGGTAACTGCATGAGAAATGAGGCAGAGGTAAGGGGTTGAAACGCTGTGAGTGCTTTATGTATGGTGGCATCTGGAAGCCCAACATTCCAAAACACAGCACATGCGCAGGCACAGAAATGGGAATGTCCTGTGCAGCGTGCTGAGGAACCCATCTGGAGTGGAGCTGCCCGAGGGGAAGAGCTCAGAGCCAGACCCTGGGGGGGCCTGTAAGAATGTGCGCATTTACTCTGCAGAAATAAGCAAAACTTGAAGGCTTTGAGCAGAAGAGCCACATATTACCACGTGGAGGGTGTTAGCCAAGAGATTATTCGGGCAGCTAACACAAGGCAAAATGCCTTACCCAAGAGTGGTAGATGGTCTGGGTGTATTTTGCACGTAGCAAGCCCTGATTGTGTGGGAATACGAGAGAAGTCAAGGGTAACTCTGGGGTTTTGTGTTTTTCCCTCCTGAATAATTGGAAGAGTGAAATGTGCCACTTACTGAAGTGGGAAAGATGAAACTAGAAAGGAGGGCGAGTTAAATTTACTTTTGCATGTAAGTTTTAAGATATCTATTAACTTCTACTTGCAGAGTTTTTAGAAGTCTATTACTTGGAGAGGTCTTAGAGCTAAAAACTTCTGAATCACCAGTACAGGCAATTTTCAAAAGGACAAGAAAATACCGAAAAGAACAAGTTTAAGGAATGACACCACCGACAAAGGAATATTTATTATATGAGAGATGAGGAAGTACCAGTTAAGTACTTTTAAAAGATCTAGGGAAGGGCGGCATCCCAGAATGAACTACAGATTTCAAAATTTAAGAGGGAATCAACAGGGATCAAAGCTGCTCCCGGACCAGTTGCGAAGCGGAACCTATTACATTTACCTGGATGGCTCTTAATGACTATCAAAAAAGCTTCGGGGCACAGCGCCTGCCTGGCAAGCGCAAGGTCGTGAGTTCGATTCCTGGACCGGAAGAAAAACAAAAACAAACAAACAAAAAGCTTCATCGGTGAAGTGGTAGGAAGGACAAGTGCCTCGGTTACCTACTCGAGGATGAATACAAGGTTCTCTCCCAAGAACTTCCAACACGTTCCGCTGAACACAGGTGAAGCGAGTTGGAGGAACGTGGAGAAGCGAGGACAAAAGCGATGCGGAGCTGCGGAGGTCAGAACGCGGGGGAACTTTCACGAGGCCCACTGCAAGGAGTGAGACAAGACGCCTCTCCAGTCTTGTTCACCTGCCGCAGTGCACAGAATGCTGGAAACGGGAGAGGATGATACGGGGAAGCACAAAATTCCCGCGGAACCGAGCACTGAAACGTTCGATCTGGTGGCACCCGGCGGACGCGCCTGAGCATCTGGACACCGCGGGAGGCATGAGCTTGGGGGACGTCTGCAAACTGTAAACACAAGCGCACGAGCAAAACCCAGCCGCGCTAGGAGGCAGGGAGATCCCAAACAAAGCAGCTCTCCGGGGAGCAGGCGCAGCGGTGTCACAGCGCCGGGAGCTGCGGAGCGCACCCAGACACCCGCGGTCACCTGTCCGATCCGGGTCGGGACCCTGCGGCTCCCGCGGGCCCCCGCGAACCAGCCTCGCTTCGGAACTTACGAGTGGCTCGGCGACTTGCGGCCGCTGCTCGGAGAGGGCATGGCTGCGGCCGGCTGTG